TTACTGTGTCACTATACCCCACTCCCTCTAACATGTAAACTCACTGAGCAGGCCCTCAATCCCTCTGTTACTGTCACTATACCCCACTCCCTCTAACATGTAAACTCACTGAGCAGGGCCCTCAATCCCTGTGTTACTGTGTCACTATACCCCACTCCCTCTAACATGTAAACTCACTGAGCAGGCCCTCAATCCCTCTGTTACTGTGTCACTATACCCCACTCCCTCTAACATGTAAACTCACTGAGCAGGCCCTCAATCCCTCTGTTACTGTGTCACTATACCCCACTCCCTCTAACATGTAAACTCACTGAGCGGGCCCTCAATCCCTCTGTTACTGTGTCACTATACCCCACTCCCTCTAACATGTAAACTCACTGAGCAGGGACCTCAATCCCTCTGTTACTGTGTCACTATACCCCACTCCCTCTAACATGTAAACTCACTGAGCAGGCCCTCAATCCCTCTGTTACTGTGTCACTATACCCCACTCCCTCTAACATGTAAACTCACTGAGCAGGGTCTCAATCCCTCTGTTACTGTGTCACTATACCCCACTCCCTCTAGCAGGCCCTCAATGCCTCTGTTACTGTGCATCCATTTGTCTGGTTACAATTACGTGTCTGTTAGTCCACCCATTGTAAAGTGCTATGGAATTTGCTGGCGCTACATAAATAATAATAATATGTTACCAGGATCACTGCAACCACATCACTGGCACTTAATGTTTATTGATCATTTAACAAAAAACACAACCCCACCCCCAAAAAAAAAAAACACAACTATTCTCTCCTCCCCTTTCAGACTGTACAGTACTGTGGAAGATCTTTTAGCTCCCACCTTTGTTTATTTGGGATCTTTTTCTTTAAGGATTTATACCAATAATTGCCAATTGTTATTTATATGCCACAAAATAACTGACGGGCATACAGAGAGCTGGTAGAGACTTGCAGGAACCCGTGTACTGTTTCTCAGTATGGGGCACTAGATCAGCAAGTCAGCATCACCTCGGCATGTTCCCCAAACCGTGACATTGAACATTTATTTATGCAGTTAAATACTTTGAGCACACCAACTTGTAAAAATAAAAGTAGATTTCTTATATCAATATGGGAAAAAATAGTCTTATATATTTACTTATTTTGTAAGTGCTTCCTCTGATATCCATTAATATAGACACTAAATCAATCATTTGGATTATTTAGTCAAATGCCCCCTTCCTCCCCCAACACTGTCTGCTCTAAACATATATATCATCGTTTTAATGGAGCTGTTTGAGTTTGGAAATTCTCAAAAGGAAAATCAGTACAGTTAGACACAAGGTGAACTTTGTAATTCCAAAGAACAGATGTTTTTGTCGAAATATGTTGAGAACACTGAAGGATCTCTTCGTTGGACGCGACCTGGTTATGTTAAAATTAAGCATATTAACTTGAGATGCAGAGACATTATCCCAGATGTTGATTCACCCAGAGGCATTTCAAATCTGCAAAAAACACGATGAGAGAGGAGTTTTACTTCCCTCTGCTCTCAGAAATATACAAAACAGCTGGATAATCTCCAAAATTGTACCTTTCCCTCAAAGAGCAGAAAAAAAAGAAGAGAAGATAAATGCGGGAAAAAACGTTTCCATCGAGATTCTGTAATCATTGGACCATGAACCAGACTTTATAAAGTATCTTTTTGTGTAAAGTAACACGTATTTTGATTTAACGACCCAGTTTAATTTTTTCTATAAATGAAGTGAGGGATTGTTTTGATTGAATAGCGGTGCTCTCCTAATGGGTCCATACAATAATTAATGTCCAAGTCTTATTTATCTCTGTATTGAACCATTTATCATCTTTCTATTAAATGCTATGTTCTTCACAGTGTTATTAAGACTTTATCCTACAGGAAGACGTTCTCAATGCCACTACTTTGGGGTCAGGATAGACAATCTAAAGTTTTTTTCTTAGATCTTTTCATACAGAAACCTTGACGGACATATCTAATCACAAATTATACAATGTATTACCACATCATTATAAAGCTGTTGGTAGGACTGGTGTTTAGTACAAATGATGAAAGTTACTCTATCTCAAAAGACAATTCTGATAATTTTAAAGCAAAAAAGTGTGAAAAGATAGAATCTTGAATATGCCATTGTAAATGTATTTTCTGAAATACGTTCCAGTCTTTCAGTAATATGAATGTTTACAATTCCCTAATTAATATGAATAAAGATTTCAGAATAAATTAGGCTGCTCAGATTATGTAAGATCAGAAAAGCATCTTTTTTTTCGCAAGCTTGTTAAAGCACAGCTATAAAATACATTATTAGAATGTATACTCCCTAAATTAATTCAGTGGTTTGTGAAGAAGGATATCACAGACCCTTGAATGTCGCAAAATTATTACTAAGTGCTTGCACATACTATAAGTTCAGTTTACATAAAAAAAAAAAAATTGAGTTGTCCAAATATCAGAAAAACAATGTGACAAAGTGTTTTTTAGTGTTGGGGTACAGGTACTGACCCGTAGACTAACTCATCCCACCATTGGTCCAGGTTTTGGCTTCAGTAGCTCCAGCAGACAGAACTGGGAAATGCCTTAATCATGAATTCTTGATATGCCTCGAAGACTAGGTTGGGAACGACCAATGCAGAGTGGCTCCTGACAATATTAAGGCACCATATATCAACGAGAAACTCTGTGTATGCATATAATTAGTAGTTGCAAAAAATGTATTTACTAAAACTTGCACAGCAATTTTATAACCCCTTAGAAATAAAACATATTGTATTAGCTGCATAATTGGCCTCGACACTTAGTGACGATCAATCCATTTTGCCCAACACTTCCTTATTAGTGTTGGCATGGTCCAATGCTTCACAGAGAAACATAAAGGACCACTTTCCAGTATAATTCTTCTCACATAGATTGGGAGAAGGGCGGATTTAGATATTCATATAATAAAAATAATTCTTTAGGATTCTATTATATCAAGTGCTGTTTAAGTATTCATTTTACGTGTCCATTAAAATGGTGACTTGCTATATAAAGCTATTGTGGATCGAAGTTCTTATGAGACTTAGCCAACTGCTAGATGAGGTTAATTGGAGTTGCATATTACATACGCTGTTTACTTATCCTGTTACATCAGATTTATACTCAATTTCCCATCAACATCAGCCAGAATATTGCTGAGCTTGATAAGATTTGTCCAGAAGGGGCAAGCAAGTTCTTGCACCCAATGTGTTGGGGCTTTCCCGGAGTAGCTTGTGTTTTTTTCCCTCTGACCCTGTACCTAAGAAAAGTAAAAAACAGAACCATTTTATGTGTTTTCTTTTCATTAGGGAGTTATCTACTCTGCTAAATTGCCACCATGTAGAGAGATCCCTTTCTACTCTCCTAAATTGCCACCACGTGGAGAGATCCCTTCCACTCTCCTAACATCGCCACCATGTGGAGAGAGCCCTTTACTTAATAGCCACCATGTGGAGAGATCCCTTTCTACTCTCCTAAATTGCCACCATGTGGAGAGATCCCTTCCACTCTCCTAACATCGCCACCATGTGGAGAGAGCCCTTTCCTTAATAGCCACCATGTGGAGAGATCCCTTTCTACTCTCCTAAATTGCCACCATGTGGAGAGATCCCTTCCACTCTCCTAACATCGCCACCATGTGGAGAGATCCATTTCTACTCTCCTAAATAGCCACCATGTGGAGAGATCCCTTTCTACTCTCCTAAATTGCCACCATGTGGAGAGATCCCTTTCTACTCTCCTAAATTGCCACCATGTGGAGAGATCCCTTTCTACTCTCCAGCACTGCCACGTGGGGAGATCACACTTTTCTAACATCGCCATGTCGAGAGTTCACACTTTTCTAACATCGCCACTATGGCTGGATCTTCGATCAGAGAAATTACTTTGAATTAGTGACCACAAATAACACAAACATGAGGTATCATTCCCTGCTCCGGGATCTAACTGGTGGTGAAAGTCCAGTTTCCATTGCAGTATTAATTTCTATTTAGGAGTTGAAGTTAAAAAATATCTATAAATTGATTTTTCTTTTCCCTTGTAATACTCTGGCCGAAATGTCTGTCCTATACATTCCCTTTCAGTAGAAAATGTGTGTGTTTGATGACAGGGTGCAGTAATGAGATTCATTTCATGAAGTAGAATGGAGGCTGCTCTATCTAAGGAGCCAATGCTGTGTAATAATAAACACAATTCTCTCCCAAAGCCGCTCACTGTTAACCTTCACAAACGTCAATATCACATTATTATTAAGCTAAGAAACAAAGTATTAAACGCAACACAAACATGAACTGTGCAATCCATTCATTATCCTCCCAGAAGGCGGCCTCGGGATAAAAAAAAACAAAAAACTGCGAAATAAGCCTCAGATAGCTTTTAAATTAATGTTTTTTTTTTTTTAAGTAAGTTGCATTTAATCCATTTAGTGCTTTTAATGCGCAGGATCTTGGAGTCCTAAGACATGTTTGTCAGACACTCATTGAAAATACTCACAAACTAGACGGCGTTTATAGGGTTACTTTAACTACCGTGACTACTTCAGTGATTTGAAGTGGTCATTGTGCCTGGAGTATCTAGCTGCAGCAATACATTATGAGTTTAACCCCTTTGTTGCTAGAGTTTTAACTCCGCTACAATTAGAGAGCCCGGAATAGGAATTCTGTGCTGGTTAATGTGAATTCTATGTACAGGATGTCATTCAATGGCTGAGAGCGATCAGCTGACACTCTTGGCCAATAAATAAACCGTGGGTTTGGCAGATCTGCAGAATAGGGATGCCAGTGACCCCACTTTAAGTGAGACCCGGTGCCTATGGGGACCAATTGCTATGCGGTTTGCCCCATTACTGAGGAACAGCGAGCGGTAGTGGTAATGATTCTGGGAGTAACCTTATAATGTAGGATCCTGCTTGCTAAATTCGAATCTAATCCAAGTTTGAATTTGATTCACCATCACCTCTGTCTGTGTGCAGTTCAAGAATCTCCACAGATGCCACAAAAACTACACAAATCAATGAACAAGTCACTGTATCTGGTGTTGTTGGCAGTAACCCAGTATTTGCAGGCAGTACCCCAAATTTTGCTGGCAGGATCCTGGTTTTGGTGGAAGTATTTGTGCTTTGTGGGCAGTATCCTGGTTTTGGTGGCAGTCACTGTGGTTTGTGGGCAGTATCCTGGTTTTGGTGGCAGTCTCTGTGGTTTCTGTACAGTATCCTGGTTTTGGTGGCAGTCTCTGTGGTTTCTGTACAGTATCCTGGTTTTGGTGGCAGTCTCTGTGGTTTCTGTACAGTATCCTGGTTTTGGTGGCAGTCTCTGTGGTTTCTGTACAGTATCCTGGTTTTGGTGGCAGTCTCTGTGGTTTCTGTACAGTATCCTGGTTTTGGTGGCAGTCTCTGTGGTTTCTGTACAGTATCCTGGTTTTGGTGGCAGTCTCTGTGGTTTCTGTGCAGTATCCTGGTTTTGGTGGCAGTGTCTGTGGTTTCTGTACAGTATCCTGGTTTTGGTGGCAGTGTCTGTGGTTTCTGTACAGTATCCTGGTTTTGGCGGCAGTACCTGTGGTTTCTGTAAAGTATCCTGGTTTTGGTGGCAGTCTCTGTGGTTTCTGTACAGTATCCTGGTTTTGGTGGCAGTACTCCTGGTTTTGGTTTCTGTACAGTATCCTGGTTTTGGTGGCAGTCTCTGTGGTTTCTGTACAGTATCCTGGTTTTGGTGGCAGTCTCTGTGGTTTCTGTACAGTATCCTGGTTTTGGTGGCAGTCTCTGTGGTTTCTGTACAGTATCCTGGTTTTGGTGGCAGTGTCTGTGGTTTCTGTACAGTATCCTGGTTTTGGTGGCAGTGTCTGTGGTTTCTGTACAGTATCCTGGTTTTGGTGGCAGTGTCTGTGGTTTCTGTACAGTATCCTGGTTTTGGTGGCAGTCTCTGTGGTTTCTGTACAGTATCCTGGTTTTGGTGGCAGTGTCTGTGGTTTCTGTACAGTATCCTGGTTTTGGTGGCAGTCTCTGTGGTTTCTGTACAGTATCCTGGTTTTGGTGGCAGTCTCTGTGGTTTCTGTACAGTATCCTGGTTTTGGTGGCAGTCTCTGTGGTTTCTGTACAGTATCCTGGTTTTGGTGGCAGTGTCTGTGGTTTCTGTACAGTATCCTGGTTTTGGTGGCAGTGTCTGTGGTTTCTGTACAGTATCCTGGTTTTGGTGGCAGTCTCTGTGGTTTCTGTACAGTACCCTGGTTTTGGTGGCAGTCTCTGATGTTTGTGGGCAGTATTCTAGTTTTGGTTGTAGTGTTTCTGGTTTGTTTGTTTGGTTTTGTTTCTGTTGGTGGTAGTCCATAGATACTGTGGGCAGTATTCTGTAGTTGGTGGTAGTCCATGGAGATTGTGTGCAGTATTCTATAGTTGGTGGTAGTCCATGGAGATTGTGGGCGGTATTCTGTAGTTGGTGGTAGTCCATGGAGATTGTGTGCAGTATTCTGTAGTTGGTGATAGTCCATGGAGATTGTGGGCAGTATTCTGTAGTGGGTGGTAGTCCATGGAGATTGTGGGCGGTATTCTGTAGTTGGTGGTAGTCCATGGAGATTGTGGGCGGTATTCTATAGTTGGTGGTAATCTGTAGTGGGTGGTGGGCAGTATTCTGTAATGGGTGTTTTTTCATGGGAATTGCTGCCAGTATGTTCTGGTTGGTGGCACAATGCATTGCTATTCAATAACCCTTAATCTCAGAAACATAAATACCATCAAAGAAACGTTTTTAGAGCCCCCCCAAAAAGTCCATTATTAGTGTAGGTATTTCAAAAAGTCAACTGCATACTTAATGAGCAGAGTGTCATATCTAAACTGAGAGATAATTATTTGCCTAGAGGGGGTGATAAAGCAATAAAACTGATTCACAGGTACTCCAATTGTGTACGCCGCAGGCAGATTTATTGTCACAAAATGAGCAGCAACGTTTCGACCTAACAATAAGTCTTTGTGAATCTGTTTTATTGCCTTATCATATTGGGATTGCTGGTCCTGTTCCAGAGCACCTGTGGCCGCTGGGAGTGATTGCGGTTCCTGCAACCTACCTTTGCTAAAGAGAGAGTGATAGATTTCACCTATGATGCAACCAGGTGAAATATACATTTTGTGTGTGCATGTGTCATGACTAAGTGTGATACGAACATGTGGCGAGAACAAAGGATGGCGGTCATCTTAAAACTCACAAATGCGGTCAGCGGGGCGTACGCATGAATGGCCTGGAACTATTTTTGGCAACACAAACATGCGAACGCCCAGTCTTCATGGAAGTCCTGGATGAATACGTTCCCCTCCACGAATCAAAAAGGCATTCGGTAGATAGAATCTACCGAACGAGGGTAACATTCGCATGTAACCAGCTGCACCATACGAACTGTGGTTTTCGTGTAGTTAGACGCGAACAGAGACCGGCTCTTGCTACTGATTTGATGGAACTCTAACTCGGATACCCCCACCTGGCGAGCCGGTCAAACTTCCACACGATGCGACACAGAAACTACCGAACGGAAATTCGTGAGATTTGGATATGTGACTACCAGTATCCTCAGCTACCCAGGGATGTGAAAATTATAGTTGTATGTATTATAAAAAGTAGTTTTCTGAAATTGTTAAAAATTATAATGTTTCTGGCCAGCAGATAATTGAGCTGTGTGTATTGCAGAAACTCAATTATCTAGCCTGGCCCAGAGGAGGAGTTTGTTACTGTTTAAATTGAATGCCTGTTGCTTTCAGTAAATCAGTCTTGTTCCAGCATTAAGCTTTGGCTCATGTGTGGATTATTCGGCGATACCAGGGATATTTCTACTTGTGGAATATTGGGTGATTTTCTTTTATGGGAAGAAGGGAATGCTTGACGGTGATACCGTATACTACCGTCACAACTGGTTTCAGTCCGAGGGATCTCTTTAATAATAAGGAGATGGTGGTGAAATTTCTAATGCATACTGAATCTTATTAAAAGAAAGCAAGATAAGCTTGTTTAATTTTGTTGGCCATTCTTTTCCTGTAATTGCAAAGGATGTCCACTTTGAGAAAGGTACCTTTAGGCATTAACGCCACCCCATCCTTCATTTGCGTTCACATCAGGAGTCAGACTGGCAGTATTACAGTGCTGGCCGCGAAGAATGAAGGAAAATGGAAAAAAAAATAATTGTTCAATCCCAAGATACGAATACATGAAACGAACGCTGGCTTTTTTTCCTCTCTGTTCAATATTGTATTAACTCTGTACATTAGGGCAACTTAATAAAATGGCTATTCATATCAGGCATCAGATCTTTCCTTGTAATGTTCAATGAAGGTTTCCTACCTCTCATGCCTTTACTACATTCAGACAAAATGTCCCTTTACATCTTAACCTCTTCTCTGCATCACCTCGACTTTAACCAGATAAAAGTATTCCTCGTACAATCACTGTTATTGTTAAATCTGATCCTGTTTAACATCCTGATATCATCCTGCGATGACTGATGTGTGTTTTGTGGTATAATGAGTAACGGGGGGAGGCTCTCGTTAGTTACTGATGCAATTTCGTTTTCACCAGCTTTTCCGTTTAAGAAGAAGTCTAGTAAAGGGACATCAGTTCTGCCCAGCTTTTAAATGCCTTCACTTGCATTGTTTAACTCCACATAAAAACCTCCATTTCACCTGCAAATATCCAACATCGCTAATGATATCAGACAGATGCAGGTGTAAACGAGAACAGTTAGTAGGTCTGCACACAAGGTGTCGAGATATACAAAATGCCGCATACAATGCATCCTCCAAGAAACAAAGTGCAATGTCTCTTCCTAGACATGACTACAAAATGGAACGCATAGACAACAATACGAAAACTGAAAAAATTGATGTTTTCGAACCATAATGCCCTATAGTAATATTTTTTATTATTTTTGCTTATAATAGTTTCATATACACTTTATGTGGCAAGAATTTTTATATGTAATTATCAATAAATAAAAAAATACCTGACCCCACCATAAACCGCTCTTAAAAGATTAATAAAGTTTAGGGTGCAGTAAAAGGGACAGAATATCACAAAGAATAAACAAGTCTTGTTGTACACTAATAGAATACAAAAATATAATTTTTATTACATGAAAATCAGCTGTTATTAAATCCACAAAGAGTAATCACATAACACATTATTGTACACATGATCTACATAGAATGCTGTACTGTCGTCATGACGACGGACAAAGCTCACACATGCGCATTCATACAGTAACCTAAAATCATACATTGCCAAGTGTGGGAAGACCAAAGGTCCAAACAACTTAACAAAAAAAAATTATTGTAAATCTGCTATGGCTACACTGGCACTCCGTGAAATAGTGAATTGTACATGTTCACAGAAATAAAATAACAAAAACGACAGAGACCAAGAAATACAACCGAGTCTCAGTGTCCCAAGGCACGAGTCGCAGAAAATCAAATGCAAAACAAAAAACATAAACAAAGTAACAAATAAAAACACTGTGTCCACCCAATCTGTATTGAATTATCACATAATTCCAAAATAAATCGTATAATAAGATACAGCCCCGTTAATCAATGGAAGGGGGGGGCTGAACAATACACAAGTGAACACCTTCTTCATAGCAATTTGGAAAATATAGAAATAAATAATATTAAAAAATATAAAACTTTGAAGCAATAAAATGCTAAATATAAGATGAAAATCATAAAATTAATTTTCACAAATAGTAAAATGATAAATTAATGTATAATGAATGCAAAAGAAAACAACCCCCAGTATCAAAAAGTAATTCTTATCATCGCCGGACGAACTCCAATATTTTGGGGATATAATAGACCTGAAATGAATTCACTTATGAAAACATGAGAAATCCTTATCTACATACACAGACCCCATGATTCTACGGTATCCAATTTGTACATCCAGGAGAGCGTTTAAACCTACTGAATCTATAACCCCTCCATCCCCCATGTGAAAGGTTCCATAGTTCAATCATCATGAACCATAATTGGGACACTGCTGGTTATGTTCATTAAATAATTTTGCACCCGCTGATGATTGCACACATGTACATAAATTGCTCCTGTTTTTGCCTGGTAGTCCAAGAATGTGCTGTGTCACATATAGAAACAAGACCACGGAGGATGAAAGGAATTGTCTGCTTTAATGACATTAAAGTTACACCGAAACATTGAATGCACCGAATCATCCCCTTCACATTACAGAACCAATTACCAACTTTCATTGTGTTACAGAAAGAAGCATGTATCAACATGTTCTTTAGATTCTTATGTATCTTATATGCCACCAGGGGAGGGGATTTAAAAAGTTCACTCAATCTGGGATCGGAGTGCAAACCTTGACAGTTTTTACTTATTTTATGCATCTCACTTGTTGTGCATGTAGAAGAAAAAGTAGTTTCTCTATAGGTTCCCTAATCCTCACAAATGATTCTACTCTGGTACTTATTCAAGTGTAAATGAGATTGTTGAGGATCTAGTGTCCTGGTTGTCTTTGAATTTCAAGAAGTCTTCATTCATGCCTTTCCAAAGAATGAAGACATTGTCAATGACCCTTAGCCGGTGGAGACAAACATCTTGTATAATACAGATGTATAGATATGTGCCCCTTTCAAATGAATCCATATAGATGTTGGCATAGGATGGTGCCACATTAGAACTGATTGCAATATCTTGTAAACGTTGAGTAAATTGAGTTTCAAAATGAAAACAAAAAAGTGTAACTTGATCTTCAGCAAATCCAAGATAAACTGGGATCTGGAAATGCTCCAAATGCTCTGACACTGCATGCACACAGCCCCAATACTAGTAATGGAGGTGTACATAACATAGATATTGTACCAACACCTGAGGTGATGATGTCACTTCTGGGGGTGGTAACAATTTCATGCTGATGGCGGCTTTATAAACAGACACATTGGAACATGGATACGTTGGGGGGGTTTGGTGAATTGTGTTTCTGTCTTGTGGCTTGTAAGATTTTTTGGTATTGTACCATTGTACTATTGTATTGCCTCTGCTTCTGTTATTTTGTTTATTTCTGGTCTTGTTCATCATTATAGTACTTTTTGTACATAATAAAGTTGTATTATAATTACTGTTTGAAGTTGTTATAGTGTGCATCCTATATTATATAGATACATTTATACCACACACGGTATATATAAAATGTTACCATATAAAGTATATAACACTTGTTTCCACTCACAGTATATATAACCACATACATTATATATACCCAAAACTATAAAACCTGTTATAGGGCATTACTTTCTAAAAAGAACGCTATATTCACCCCAACCATTTCATCGAGTGGTCTGGGTGCAGTGCTCTTGTCCCCTTAACACTGCAATGTAAAACACTGCAATTTTGGAGAAACAAAAGCATTTAAATTGCAGGGTTAAATCTACCTTTAGTGGCTGTCATGACGCGGTCACGTGAAGCAGAAGTCCCAATAGGAAACCACTGAACTCATGCAGATGGTCACCGCTGTAACAGATCACCTGGCACCCCGACTGGGTACCTCCGTTGATGGATGCTCCTAGCGCTTCTTGA